CCAGGACGAATGTGATCGTGAGTCTTGACCGCAAAAAGTATTGAACTCAGCGAAACAAACAAGTAACACTACACCTCAACCTCCTGAATCTTCATATATTGAGCACGCACCAACACTCGCTCCCCATGAAAAACATCATTCATGAACCACTTGCCCTTTCACTTACCACCAACAAGGCCATCCATGTCCCCAAATGAGATTCGAATAAGACCACCGATGTCTGTCTTCGAAATAACAAACTGCATGGCATCTCTCATCATCTCTCCCTCCACTAGAATATGAAGAATGTGATACACATCATGGAAAAAGTTCGTGATCTCTCCAAACAGCATGTGGCATGCATTAGTGTCTGGGTGCCACCTATCCACGCACAGACGCACTTAGTAGAACAACATCAAAATGGTGCATCATGCACCCTATATAGTAGGACAATCTCTTGTCCTAAGCTATCTCCTTAGAACCCTCTGTACTCCATTAATATTGACTCAAAGAGCCCACTATATCATAACTCTAGAAGCACTCCAACGCTTCATGATCTTGCTCAGGAAAAGTCCAACAGTACAATGGTCATGTGACCTCCAAAGCTATCGCCACTTAGGAATCACTAGTCCGCCAGAAAAACATCTCAAAATCTGATGTAAAAAACTATGACTTATCTTGTTTGGATGTATTCTTCCTCTTCTTTCCATCACCGCCTTCCTAGCCATTAGATCCAACTATATAACATTCATCGGCCCTATAAGTGCAAAGTGTGATGAGGTAGTAGAAGATGTCCTAATTCGTATGGTCGTCGATATCAATATCATCATAATCATATCCTAAAATGGAATCGCTACAACCTACAATCTGGATAGCAAGCTACTGTATCCTCAAGTGTAGTAGTAGGGGTGACATCTTGACTAAGATACAACTTCGCCTACGTACTTCTTATTCCCCCTAACCTTCCGTGAATTGAATATTTTTGTATGAGTATGCACACATTTTGCATCAAATTTTGTCCTGACCCCACTGGTAGAGAATGAGTGAATCAATTTTCATATAATATACTCCGGTGAGGATCTAGATTGCTCTGTCTTGATTCTAATGTCTTGAGTTCTATGCATGAGTGCATGTTTTGAATGAGTGGTTGAGTCGAGTCTATGTTGTTTAGTGAACAGAAGGGAAACTCTTCCTTTACCTGATTTTGTTGCACTCGAATGTCATCTGTGGTGGTTGTCCAGGTTGTTATTGATGTTGTTCATGTGTTGATGTTTAAAAGCCAGTATGATTCACGTATTTTGTGCCTATATGATATGTCCCCAAAGTTTGCATGGTTAAAACGTTTTGAGCTTACCTTGTGTCTGACTTGTCATGCTTCGTATAGCACTCGCTGGTGTTTGTTTACGTTGAGCTTTGGGATGATTCAGGAGCAAAAGACGGGCATGCTTCTCTAAAAGCACGACCGTGTTTCATCAGCAACTCAACTGTGCTTTTTATTGTGAGACTGGCTAGTTAAGATTGTTTAAGTGAGACAAAGCACCGGCAAGAAAAGACCAAAATGCGATCGTGTTTTCCCAGAATACGACCGTTGATTTCCCCCTCTCCAACTTAAGTAAAATGCGTGATCTGGTCAAAACACGATCAGAGGAGGAAGAACGGTTGTGCTTTCAACCGTGTTTTGCCCAGTATCGGGGTAAATAGGCAGATTCGAGCCAAAGGAAGGGGATTCGACTTTTTTGAAGCAAAAACAGAGTTCTAGAGAGAGAAAGTGATGAAGAAGAAGACCTAGGAGCTAATTGAAGTGGATTTTTCACCATTGAAACCCAGATTGCGCCCCAAGGAGCGAAGATTTACATCCCAGAGCATATTATACACATCATTATGAGTATGACTGCTTTGATTTCTGTTTTCCTCTCTCTCTCTCTCTCTCTCTCTCTCTATGGATTAATCCTCCTTCTCACTTGGGTATGAAGAACCCTAGTTCCATGTGCTATGGATCTTGCTTGTAATGACTTTTGGATGTTATACTGGATGATTTTAATCAATTGGACATGATTTATTGAGTCAATTGAATCCTGATCAAATTTTCTTGATAACCTATGATAGATAGAATCTGATTAGGTTGATTATTGAGCTTCTTCAATTGATAGGAGTGAATTGATTATACGAGAGTCAGTCAATTCACTGCTTTGTACTGGAATTCGTTCCAAGTAGAGGAGATCTGTGTTTTGCCAGAATACGACTGTGGATTTCCCCATCCCCAACTTAAGTAAAACGCGTGATCTGGTCAAAACACGATCGTCGGAGGAAGCACGACCGTATTTTTCCCAGTATCGGGTTAAATAGGCAGATTTGAACCAAAGGAAGGGGATTTGACTTTTTGGAGCAAAAATAGAGTTCTAGAGAGAGAAAGTGACGAAGAAGAAGATCTAGGAGCTATTTGGAGTGGATTTCTCACCATTGAAGCCCAAATTGCGCCCAAAGAGCGAAGATTGACATCCCAGAGCAGATTATACCTATTATCATGAGTATGATGCTTTGATTTTTGTTTTCCTCTCTCTCTATGTAGTAATCCTCTTTCTCACTTGGGTATAAAGAATCCTAGTTCCAAGTGTTAGGGATCTTGCTCATAATGACTTTTGGATGTTATACTGGATGATTTTAATCAATGGAGGCATGATTTATTGAGTCAATTGAATCCTAATCAAATTCTCTTGATTTCTACTTTAACCTTTGATAGTTAAAATCTGATTAGATTGATAGATTGATAGAGCTTCTTCAATTGATAAGAGTGAATTGATTGTACGAGAGTTAGTGAATTCACTGCTTTGTACTGGAATCCATTCCAAGTAGAGGAGATCTGTGTGAATCGCCTTAGCAGTCTATCCCGGTGAAGGATAGTCGCCTGCCGGGTATTCTATCTAAGAGGGCTTGATGAGCTCAAAAGATTGCAAGCTATTTTCGGATCTTCCGCAGTCTAATACAGTAAAGCAACCAAAAGGAATTACAACTTGAACCTAATTGAGGAGCTAGAGGGATTCATTCCCGAGTGACTCTTCTCTTGCTTTAGAAAACCAAACAACTTGCTGCTTTCTTTTGGTTGTAGATTAAACTCATTCTCACTCAACTTTTACCGCTATATAACAGAATTACAATGAGTAGACAGTAAATCTAGGACCCGGGTTGACAAGTAAAACTGAACCCACTATACTGCATTTCCATACTCCGATTACATTTGGTCGTGGTTTGGTGTTGTATTTTAGCGAGTCATCTACAAATGTGGCCTTCCATTCCATTTTTCATTTCTGGTTTGCCAATTCAATGTCCAGACATCTTGAAAAAAAAAACCTTGAAATATAGTTACTTACAGTTCATGATAATTAAATGATTCAAAAGATGAATTAAAATGTAAATTTATGATACTTAACTATAACATTTATTAATTTAAATTTAAAATTTATCATAATTATTTAATTTTTTATAATTATTTAAAATTGATGATAATTATGTTATATGATAAATAATTTACAAATCGAATTAAATTTAAAAATTTTCTATTATTATAATTAAATTCATAAATAAAAATAACTTATAATTTCTAATCATTAATAATAATTTATGATAGTTACTCTCATTTTATTTATAGTTTTGATAATTATTGAAATTTAAAATAAATAATTATGATTTAAAATAAATATTTATAATTTAAATTAAATTAATAATAATTAAATTAGACTGCAATCAAACCAAAACATAAACAAGGTTGAACGACAGTCAAAAGAGAGTTGAATGCGGTTGACCGCTAGTATAAATGAAATTTTAGTATATTGCGCCCTTGGTCAACTAATGTTTGACTGACCATTGAAACATTTGCAAAGTTTGTTTGACCGATGGTCAACCAAGTGTTGACATCGTTTGACCGAGGTCGTAAAAGAGTTGAAATTCGGCCGACAGTAAACCATACCTTTTATTTTCTTTTCTTACCTTCTAGCCTAGGTAAGGTTGTCTTCTTCGGCAGTTCAACAACAATGGATTGGAGCATCGACGGGCTCATCTTCCTTATACATGTTCGTCTTCTTCCTCTCAAGCTACGTGGGTTTGACTTCGCAACGGTTCAATGCCAGAGGAGCAGAGCACACCTTATCGTCTTCTTCCTCTCCAGTTGGTGGCTTCGGCGATGCAGAGGAGCAAATCATGGCGAAGCGAATCAGAGGAGCATAGCAGGTCGCTATGTTCGTCTTTTTCTCTCGCCAAATGGTGTGCGGCGATTGTTTTAGAGGAATCGGCATCGCCTCTCAGGGATGGGCAAGAGGGTCATGTTGGAAGGACAGTCGGTTGAGGACAAAAGGTGTTTGGTTGGTTGCCAATTCTTAATTTAATTTGGCCAAGTACGTAACTTACGTAATTAACTCTACTGCATCCATAGCTGCTTCCAGGAAGTCTGTATCTCCAAAGACCTGATATTCAAAAACACTGGTTCTATAAAGCCTAAACAAAGCCATTTCTACCTAAAATTAGTTAGAAACAATGGCAAATTGGATTTTGAATCATTGGCCACCTTTCCAAGTACATTGCCTACTGGATTTTATGAGTTATGTCCTTAAGTTCATAGCGATGTCAGGGAATAAACGATGAATGCCAAATCACATAATCAAATACATCAAATATACAATAAGCTATTGCATTTTGATGTCACTTAAAACAACAATTATCTACAATTCGATTGAACAAAAAATGTATGGTGTGGATTTTGGTCTTAGATTTGTAGTCTAAGAGCAACCCCTTCGCCATTACTAAAAAATGTTTTGTATGGAAGTGGCAGGGGGTCAACCCCCTATATGCCCAGTAGTTCTGAAATGACTCCTCCTTATGTGGGCAAAAGAACTAGACAAAATTGAATCTAGTAACAAAAAAACTACAATATTCACCTTAGCAGCCTTAATAAATGTAAGGGCAATCCCATGAGCACCATAACACCAATTCACAAGAACATCCCTGCTTCGATCTTCCTAACTCGCTGGCTAGTTTCCACTCAAAAATCGATTCTTGATCATGTAATACAAGGTCCTCTTAACATCATTAACCTGATCTGGCGCGAGTTCTACATCCATCAAGCCATGCATAATACCTGCAAGACCATGTGCAGCACCGCAATACCTCTCCCCATACCATTCAAACATCAATGGCGGACCCCCTTCCTTGGCCATCACCCTCCCATTCTTCATAATTTCATCCGCAACTGCAAGCTATATCAAATTGGCCACACTACATTCACACTCTGGTTTACGCAATTCATCGCTGGCCTAAACCCTATAAAACACAAAGTTCTGATGTGATAAAACTTACCATCTTTGTTTTGGGAATTGTCCCGTCGCCAATATGCTTGTTGATGAAGGAACAAGCCCACAGGAATCCACTTCTTCCATACAAGAACTCATCAGGGTGATCGGACGAGTTTGACCTGTTCATATAAAACCATCATACTCACTCTTCAAACTTTCTCAAGTCCTGACCAAAATGGTTTTATTAAAGTTGAAAAATGGTTTTACTAAAGTTGAAAGCGAAAGCAAAGATTATTAAAGCAGCAACCTCCTAAAATTGATTTAGATAGTATGTTCTTAGTGACTCATCATTAGCATACTTGGCTGCTATAGCACCAAGGGCACAAACACCGCCTCGTCCACCTAAAAACGTTACATTCCTATATCATCAGATTCATCACAATACCCCTTACTTGAGTAGCTTGCTCTATTCCAATTGTTCTAAAGTACAAAAGAATAATTGCACCTGGCTCAATACAACATGATCCAATTGAATAACATAACAATGGGGGCAGACAAAACAAAGTACCTGGAAGCATAATCGCAAGCCTTAACGATCTCCAAACGGAGGAGCATATCAGCTTTGTTCTCAGTCACCTCATATGCCTTGAAAAGCAAGAAAGCGGTGCCGAGGGTGCCGCTGTATAGTGTGAAGTCTCGCACAGGTTGCCCACTCGTCCCCCATGTGTCCATCACTATCTTAAACAAAGATCCGCAAATGATCAAAAACCTTGTGATCGTTAAGGCTAGTGATTTTGCCTACCATTTTAGTGAATACAGGGCGAGAAAAAAAAAAGCAGAACAACCCAATAACCAGAGCAAAAGGGAAAAGGGGTTTCATTATGGTTTCCTTAAGATCCTATGCACCGCGTTGGAAGCGTTGGGAGAGGGAGGAGTAAGGCATGGACATAAGGTTGACAAGTGGATCTCCAGACGTCGGCTGCTCTTGCTGTGATTTTGTTGTCGGTTCTTGCAGCGGTTGACCAGCCAAGCTTCCGAAACGTAGTCTGACATAATTTTGGGGAAGAATCGATCCGTCATCTTTCCTCTGATGCTGCGTTACGGCGTACGATTGATTTCCTCCTTTGTCTCAACAGGTGAGGGGTAACACCATTAATCTCGATCGAGGTTTGAACGAGAGTGAGAAAATGGAAATTGGGGAAGAAGGTCGGAAGGGATGAATGGGATTCATTTTTTCGTTCTTTCACGTCGAGGAAACTGGCGCCAAACGTGGCAGTTGTCCCTTACGTTTTCTATAAAAATGAGTTAAGATCAAAGCTTAAACCCGGTTTAGCTACAATCGTGTCGGGTTGGGTAATTTAATTTCGGATTAAGAATCTCAGGTTATGGGTCATCACAGGTCGGTTCATATTGGGTTGGCTGATTTCAGGTCAAATATTGGCCCAACTCATCGGGTCTCGAGTCATTTCGAATTATGAGCGTTTTCAAAAGCAATAAATTTTTAAAGAACACAAATTTTAACATGCGTAGGACAATAGTTAACCTAGCTCATATCAATGAATAAACGCGCAAATCCTTTCATGCTAATCAACAAAAACATAAATTACGTAAAAAACAATAACGAAAGTAATATTACTACAAGAAACAAAGGATGTTTGATAATCCTTACACTCCAAAATTATCTTTCAAACCCTTATGAATTTTTTTCAACATCTCACCAATATAGGAGTGATTTTTCATTTTGAGAGTGAAATATGAAATAGAACGGGTCGAGCAGGTCAGCTCGCTAAACCACCCAACCCGACCCAAAAAACTACGGGTTAATCAGGTTTGGGTCATTTGGGTTTCGGGTTATTAAAACTTCAACACATTTGTTATTTTTTAGGCAGATTCGGGTCAGGTCAACTGGTCGATTTAGTTCGAATATGTACAAAAGCTAAAGTTTTGTACATACACATATAAATTATATCAAATACTAATTACTAATTAGTATTGTTTTCTATTTAATGACATAGAGAATATAGTAGTTAAGATTAAATGGGGATAAAATATTTCCGGTATCACTTAAGTCAGAAAACTAGGGGAGTGATACCACTTATATTTGGATAGGGCATCGGATACAATTATTGTTCTTAAATTTAGTGTTCGTCCATTTTTCTATCCTATTGACTAACATAATAAAAAATATTTTTTTGACACATTGATGTTGACCATGGGTCTCATATGTACTGAGTCACTTTTGGAGGGAAAATTGGCGTCAAATTCACCATCTCCCTCTTGACACCATAAAACAAACTCACCTCTAATTTTCTCATTCTCCCCTGAAACTCTCAATGCCGCAACAACTTCTTCTCTCTTAATATTTTGATCTTTTCATTTGCTTCTCCTTTGCCATTTTATTTTTGATACTCGTGTCCTCATTATTATATAGAAATATGGCAACCCAATCTGAGGTTTCAATTTTATGAGTGCATCAATTTATGGGGTAAGTGTATTTTGATGTAATGATTTTGGCTAATAATTGAAACAAATAAAACTTATCATAACTAAATTTTGTTTGTTTGTTTCCAAAACTAATAAACTTCAAGTGTATGTAACTTTTCCTATTGGGTGGATCTGATTCTAGATGAACCCATGAAGCATGTTATTCGTGATTTACACAGGCGGGAACATGGCATTAGAGAGGAGGAACGATAAACCATGTTTGTGTTGGAAGCATTAAATTCATATGAATAATGTTGGGAGATATTTTTATTTCTTACATACCCGAGATGGTTTGGTTACCAATCCGTCCAATCACAGGGATCGTTGAAGCTCCAGCAACCAAACACGTGTTGCATAACGTACGGGAAAGGTCCCTTGATAGACAGGGCGCACAAGAACATGTCCCAAATCCTCAAGCTAAACTCACAGCTTCTAAAGATATGTGAAGCTGTCTCAAATTCAGATTCACACAACACGCATCCACTCACCAAGTTCCAACCACGCTTCTTCAAGTTGTCATGGGTGAGGATGCGATTGTGACAAAGAAGCCACGCAAAGCCATTGACCTTTGAGGGAGCCTTAGATCGCCACAGCGACCTGGATGGAAGTTCATCACTCTTGGGAACTTCTCGCCGCAGAGGCTACGGTACATCGAGTGCACGAAAAAAAGCCTGCTCTTCGGTTAGGTAACCAAACCATCCTACAAGGACCACAAGAAATCCAACCAAGAGGAAGGTTTGAAAAAAAAAATATGAAGCTCACCCCTATCTCAGCCCCCCCCCCCCTCAGAGAAAAATTAAGTGGAAGATTCCAACTCACCCCCTTGGAAGAAAAAGATATAAACTCGGAGACCCAGCCTTGGGGGAGAGCAGATGAGGCGTTAACTCTAGGGAAGGATTCGGCAAGGGTCGAACAATGATTCCAATGGTTTGGTTACCTAACCGAAGAATTTGGCCAAGACAATTAGCCAAAAGTTTGGATATAATTTTGTAGAACACCTGACAAAGCCCAATTGGGCAAAGGTGAGCAAAATTTTGGATATTATGAACCTTAGGCAAGAGAGTAAGCCACATATGGTTAAGTGACCATAACATATGGTCAGTGCGAAAGAAAGATAACACAACTTCACAAACAGAAGCTCCCAAGATGTCCCAAAAATGTTGAAAGGAAAGACCTGTGAACCCATCGGATCCAGGAGTCTTAGTTGGGCCAATCTGAAACATTGTACGTTTGATGCCATGAGAAGAAGATGGTGCCAGTAACACAACATTCATTGCATCATCAACCACAGGATGCAGGTGGAATTTATCAATAGCTTCCTCCACATCATTGGGTGCAATATCAACAAAGAATAACGATGAACAATGAGCCACAACGACCTGACCCTTTAAATGTTCTCCAGAGTAGACTTGACCTGCTGGATCAGACAATGTGGGGGTGAAATTATGAGCTCGTTGCGTGTGCATAACACGATGAAAATACGTTTGTGATCCCCAAATCATAACAATTGGACATGGGAACGTTGGCGCCAAAAATCCTCTTCTTTCTCCCATGCTTTAGTCAACTCACATTCAAAGCCATGAATGTTATCCCAATTTGGTAAATGAGCCACCCTTTGAGCACGAAGAGCAGCAATAAGATCATGAATGTGGCGTAGAGATTAGATGACCCGCCCATAACCCATTGAAAAAGGGCATGTTGTACCCTCTTAAGTCGAGTATGTAAGCAATACATCGGTAACCCTTGAATAGCCAAATTCCAGTAATAATTAAGTAATAATTAGGCAAGCTTTCGGATTATTGATCCACTAGGCATTGAAGCGGAAGAAACGTTTAGCCTGACGGGAGCACTGATGAGGAGACCAAAGGATCATCTCATGATCGGACCGAATGTCATTCAAATGAGTGACCGTGGAGTCCGGAAAAATATTCAACACAATTGGTGAGAATAGAAAATGATCTAATCAAGTTTCGATGAGTGAATGATTTGAACAGTGATTGGACCTAGTATAAGGATGACCATGAAATTCAATGTCTACTACACCTAAATCATCTATAAAATCCTTAAAAATAGAGGCTGCTTGGGGATCAGAGGTAGCATCACCTTTTTCATCATTGTTTAAGATAACATTAAAATCACCAAATAACACATATGGGAGGTCTAACAAACGTAGATAATACTTATACCAATATAAATCAATAGCAAACTAGCTTTTTACCCGGCCAGTTGGCCGGAGAGATTTATTTCATAATTTATATTAATTAGCCGGAGAGATTTATTTCAAAATTTATATTAATTAACTTATTTATATGTTTAAATCATTTTGCATCTTCTAAATATTTTGTGTTCTTATTCATAAAAGAGTTTGTAGTATGTCTATATTGGAAATTTCCAATATTTAGCATACTCACTTCTGATGTTTTGGTTTTCTCATCATAAATTATGTCGTTGTCACGTCCCATTTAGAACTTATGTTAAAATTTGTCAACCAAAGCACTAATATTTAGCGTACGTCTACCTGAACCACACACACATATGTATATATATAGTTCAAGCTAGCGTGCGCTAAGAGTACGCTATACTCTTGCGTTCACACTACCATACGACCATTGAGTTTTACTATTTAGACTCCGGATTTTTTTGGGGGCATGATACTATACCCTAACCTCTAATTTATGCAAATACTTTGTCATACCTATCTTCTATCGTATCTTGAGTAAAATCAAAATACAGTATACCTTGATATTATATATATATGTATATGTATATGTGTGTGTATATATAGTAGACTCAAAATTATCTGGATACTTCGCGAGACCTACCTTATCTCGTCTAATACTCATATTAAAAGTGCTACTTGCCTATCCCCCACCCTCGGGATAGAGATCCCGCTTTTACCCCCATAACGTCAGACAACCATTGGGGTAGTCTATCGTTTGAACATTTTGAAAATTTCTAAACATACGACTTAGGACCTTAATAGAGCTTGCTCAATCAACATGATATAGAATAAATATTACTAATGTGATCTTAGAACACATTATAAAATTATTGCACATGCGATTTCTCTTCATTTGAGAAGTTTAAGGTAGAAAATGATATGAGCAATAAGAAGTCTTTTTTAAATAAATAACTATAACTACTCGATCAAGATTATAATCTGACATCTTGCTAAATAATAATTTTTTTATTTTATAGACATATAATTTACGAATAAGAGAGTGTTTCATTGCAACAAAATATACTGT